GAGACTTTCTGTAAATTAGAGAAATATTAGGGATGACCCAAAGTTTATGATTACATTTTCCCATCTAATTAGCATATTATGACGTCATATGGTGGTGGCAATCTTGGATTATAGAATTTTCATGAAAAGTCACGTTTAAATGATAAAATGCAGCACTTCTTTCCCCCCAAAATGTCCATCACCTTCTGTATGCTATATTGCACAATACTGAATGCTCAGGTATATAGTAAGTAGTAAACAAACTGTGTAAATCATTACTAATAAATGGTAGAAACAAACCGAATGCATGTAGTGATTGGCCTTTTGCTGTAGAGATTTTCCATTTACTAAATACATTAGGCACTCTGATTCCATGTATGGGGCAAATATATTTTATTCATATGACATACAAACACAAGTAGACAAGACCTGTATAGTTCAAACGCTCACTCGCACAGATCATGAGTGACATGATACGAGCAGCGCGGCCAGATCTGCCTCGCGCGCGCGCCGAGTGTGCACAGCTCGGACTACTGTCATTGTCATTGCGACTCCCCACCCTGCCTCCACGTTGCCTCCTAACTGTCCTATGAATACTTCGACCTCGTCTAACATACCCAGTGGTATTAGACAAAGTCTCCACCACAATACTGTCGCCGCGATTGCAGAGAGGATCTGATAAAATGGCTCACTCGCACACTAGCTCCGCTTTTGATCGCACTGATTCAATGCGCTCTAACTCGAACATTTTGTATAGAAACATGACGTTTTTTTGATTCGGGGATGAAGTATGACATGTCTGCCATCCAGTGGAGGGGAGGTTGAACGAAATTTGACACCCAATTTGACAAAATCGTCCGTTTTATTCAGTGCCGCGTCTTGTCGAGTAAACTCGACCGTGGCGCCTAGAGGGTTAATAATGGTGCAGAGTAGAGCGAGCTTTTTCAATTAATTCCTATGGAAGTAGGAATGAACTAAACAACGTTCACTCTGTTCTGCTCATCCCTCACCGTGGGCGCGCACAGTTATGAATGCCTGTGCAGCCGTGAGCATTTTAGTTTAATTTTAAAATTAGGCCACAATGTTGTGTTTTATTACGAGTGTACACAAACATAAATAAACACTTTGCAGTTTGAATTATGTCATGTATGAACAAATGACGTAGTATGTTTTTATGTGTAACACTGTTCAATCGCGCCCGCGCCACATCCACCCACACACACACGTTCCAGCATTGCAATCTTGACATCGCAAGCCTGTTCATTATAGCCTTATATATGTGCTATATATTAGATCAATATATTTTTTCCTTAAAATTTTAATCAACACTAACTTTATTCTCATCAGAGTTACAGTATATATTTTTTTGTATAAAATAATACTACCATTAAAAAAACACATTTTTTAATCAATGTAGATTGTGTAACTTAAAAATAAACAAATCAGTGCTCTGTTTAAGGACAAGAAATGAAAATCTATGCAATATGATGAATGTCCAAAAGATGCCACTCACAGACTGTTTTTAAATGGGATTGGATAAATATTTTTTTGCTTTTAAACTGTGTGTGTGTGTGTGATTGTGTCTTGGTGTATGTTAGTGACAAGAGTTTAACCCTTGTTCAATTTAAGTTTAAGGCCTTGTCTTTTTGGATATATATATATTTTTTTTCCTCCAAAATATTCATATAACCCATATATTTTAAGTGTATTGTTTGCTTTAGATTAAATTAAGATTGTATCTTTGGTAATTGAAGCTAAATTAATTTAAAATTAATGTGCTATATTTCAGATCAATAAAATCAATGTTTTCCTTCATTTTAATCAACACTAACTTTATTCTCATCTGAATTATAAATAACCTATTTCTGTATAAAATAAAAAATCCCGAATAATCCCGACCAACCAGAGTGCACTATTCCCACAACATCATCAGTGCTGAAGTAGAACTACCAGAGCCGTTCGGCAGATTTTCAGTCTTGTGTGCTTATTTCATGTGTCCGTTAAATCCATGAGACCGTCTGTAGGGTGTCTCATTTTTCATTTTAGGTTTCAGAAGGTTGCTCACGCATACTTTGTGGTTGATATGTGCCCTCGATGCGCACTTTTGCAGAGCCCACACTTATGCAAGCTCTACAGCACACTTCTTTTCGACAGTCAAAGCAGGGTTATGTTTTTGCACGTCGTGCACAATAACCCTAAATGCACCGGGGTGGCGCCTCTCTCTCTCTCACACACGCGCACACACACACACAGTTCGATCGCGCCTGCGCCTCTCTCTCTCTCTCTCACACACACACACACACAGTTCGATCGCGCCCGCGCCTCTCTCTCTCTCTCTCTCTCTCTCTCTCTCTCTTTCTCACACGCGCACACACACACACAGTTTGATCGCGCCTCTCTCTCTCTCTCTCTCTCTCTCTCTCTCTCACTCTCACACACTTTGCAGTTTCAATGATGACAGTCCTCTATGAACAAAATGACGGAGTATGTTTTTATGTTTCCACTGTTCGATCGCGCCCACGCCTCACACACACACACACACACACACACACACACATATAAGTTTAACCCTTGTTCAAGTGTAAATTTAAGGACTTGTCTTTTTGGATATATATATGTATATATATATATATATATATATTTTTTTTTTATATTCATATAACCCATATATTTTAAATGTATTGTTTGCTTTAAATTAAATTAAGATTGTATGTTTGGTAATTTAACCTAAATTAATTTAAAATGTATGTGCTATATTTCAGATCAATATATTTGTTTTCCTTCATTTTAATCAACACTAACTTTATTCTCATCTGAATTAATAAATAACTTATTTCTGTATAAAATAAAAAATCCTGAATAATCCAGACCAACCAGAGCACACTATTCCTACAACATCATCAGTGCTGATGCGGAACTACCAGAGCCGTTCGGCAGATAGCGAGCAGATGCAGCATATGTGTTGTAACAAGGCAGGGTCAGGCCAGGGGGATCCATTTGCAGCTTTTTATTAAGAATGGTCAAGACAGGCAGGGTGAGCAATGGCAAACAGGGCAGAACAGAAAAGGCAGAGACAAACCAGGTTGACAGGCAAAGGACAAATACCTCCAGATAAATACTGGGCTTCTGGATTTACACATTTAAGTGCTGCAAAACATATTGACCTATGGGATTAATATCCTGCCATGATTCAAAACTGAAAATAAAGTTCTGAAAGGTTGAAACTAAGTGTTCGAAAACTCAAAATCTTACAAAAAAAAGTTTTGCAAGATCGAAAAATAAGATTTGCAAGCTTGCAAAATGTAAAAAAATTAAAAATACCTCTGCAAACATTATGTTGTTTTTGAGATTTCCTTCTTCAGAACTGCAAACATTTTTTTTACGATGTTGCGCAAACAATTTTTCAGAGTTTCAAATTTGTCAGTGTTCTCCCACTGTATTAGTTTGTTTTCCAGGTTTGAAACCTTGTAAATGGTGATCTGAAAACTGGTGTGCGAATGTGTGAAAAAAAGTTTTGAAACTCTGAAAACAGACTTTTGCAGGCTTGCAAAGGGGTAAAAAAATTTAAATCTCTGCAAACATAATTTTGTTTTTGAGTTTTCCTTCTTCAGAAGTGCAACACTCTTTTTTACGGTGTTGTGCAATCATTTTTTCAGAGTTTCGAATTTGTCACTGTTCTCCCAGTGTGTAGTTTGTTTTCCAGATTTGAAACCTTGTAAATGGTGATCTGAAAACTGGTGTGCGAATAGGTGAAAAAAAGTTTTAAAAACTCTGAAAACTGAGGTTCGAAAGGGCGAAACTTATTACATTACATTACATGTGCACTCCTATAGCAGACTATTTTTTCAGAGCTGAGTTTACAACACCCACTTTGCGGAGATACGCCCACACAGTTGCGAGCTTGCGACTCACGTGATTTGTGGCAGCTTTGTCACGCAGCTCTGCTCTGAAACTCTGAAACTCAGACTGAGCGAAAATTAAGCTTCGCAACCTCGCAACTTAAAAAAAGCCTGGAGGGAGGGCCTTCTGCTCTTGGCCAATGCTTTGCTGTCTGCTGACGTACAGTCCAATCACAAGTCGTATTTACTGGAAAGGTGGGATTGACCGACTGCTCCGCCAATGACGAAAGCGTATGATATAAAGTATGATCAGTGTTATTCTAATGTTGATCTAGCTTACTGCTAGTCTCATACAGCCAACAAACGAACACATAGAATAATATTATAACTTTCAACACACTCAAATGCAGTTTAGTATGATGGTGTAGACCAAGTGAAACAGCGCTGCGTTACCTCACAAGTTTCATTCGTCAAATAAACTGACCTGTGTGAGTAGTAATTCAGCACTTGCGGGTAGTTCGGTAGAATGAAATGTCCTTATTCCTTTATATACGCGGGACTCGCGTGTGGGGCTGATCTGTCTCTCATTTGCAATCGCGCCCTGCTTCATACCACAGTCATGATAAATAACATGAAGGTTTCATAAGTTTCATAAAAATGCAATATTTTAAACAAAAAGCTGAGGGGGAAAATAGCTTTCTGGAAAGCCGGAAAATTCCGTCAATGGAGGGGGCAGAGTTAAGTTAAATGTTGCTCAATGTAGGATATTGTGCTGTTCGAGAATATTATTTCTGTGCTTTTTATGAGCAGAATCACAAGCATTTTACTGAAACAGTGCACAATAATCATGAGATACTAGTCTAGTCAAGTCAAGTCACATTTATTTATGTAGCGCTTTTTACAATACAGATTGTTTCAAAACAGCTTTACAGAGATAACAGGAAAATAATGCAACAAAGTTTGTTTCCAGAAGAAAATAGCGTCAGTCCAGTCCAGTAAGTTCAGTGATGTTTAATTTTTGTTGTAAAAAAGTTATCAATTTAGTTAATTTATATATATGGCCGCTCTAGAAAAAAACGTAATGTCATCGTCCAGCTCAGTTCAGTTCTCATATAATGGTGTCAATGCAGGCAGATCAATAATTATTGTTGAATATTAAATTAAATGTTACATTTTCTATAGGCTGCTATGAAAGCGGTGGTTGCCACAAGCCGCATGCATGAGGGCTCACGGCGGCGGACGGACAGCTGCGAGATGCCCAACACAGAAAATACCTCGTGCCAGAACAGCATACAGAAGGAAAACACTTTGGATTCTCAAAGGGAGCCCATTCCCATTAAAGAGGGATTTAAGCAGGTTGAGGATGGAGCTCAGAGTCCCTCAAGTACCCCACTCCACCCTATCCATAAATCTAAATCTTCTGACCTATCTGGGCCCTTGCCCACTCGCCCACCCCTGATAGCAGACGAACACAGGCAGACCTCTGTTATACCGAAGGCTCCGGTGGTGCGGCCCAGGATGCCCAAGAAGAGCTGCTCAGTGGATCCTGGAGGCAAATATGAGCCTTTGCCAGTAAGCACCACCCCACCCAGTCCCAAGAACCTCAGTAATGGTTTCTCCATGGGTGTTGAGACAGGTGGCAATACGGCAGAATGTCCGTAGACTGGATGATCTAAATATTAGGATTCTTACAGAAGATGGAGGGCCTCGTGCGAGGAAGAGAGCAGGAGAGATGATGCTTTAAAAATACACTGAGAATTCCTTCTTCCCCTCTTCCATTTTTTTGCCATGATATATTTTGATACAGGACTGACACTTGATGAGCTATCTGTTTCTTAAAGCTCTTTATATTGAGGCATGTGGCTTTCATGACAACTTTAGGTTAGCGGCACAGCGTACATTGTTTTTTTTTTTCCTCTTTGCACAAGCATTGTAAATAAGATTGTCTCTCATCTGAGCTGAAATTCATTTTTCTCTTCTTTTGCTTTCATATGCAAATGTTCATGCAATCTTATTCTATCTCTAAAGGTAGTGAGGATCATGTATCTGTGATGTTGTGATATTTGTTTAATGACTGATAAATGACTGACCCCAGTATATGTCTTTTGCCCCATTTTAATTCACCGATTTTGTGTTAGCAAACTGCAAAAATGCTTGAAATGATTTCTAAAAGCTCAGACTAAAGGAAGGATATGCATCATGCCACAATCAAGGATAATGTTTTCCCCGGCTCTTCTTTGGCAGTTTATCTTCCATCAAATCTAATTGATGTTATTCAGGGTTACCAAACTGATGTCAAATTCCCTACTTTTCTGTAGTCATGACGAAATACAACATCCCGCTTCAACATCTGGGAAAGTTTTAGGGAAAAAACACACCTAAACTCCCACTGTACTACAAATCTTCTCTATGAGGTGGAATTAACACAACTACTATGCTTCAGCCAGACTGTCTACCTCTTCTAATGTACAGACACTTCCAGCTTTTCAAATAGTACATTCTGTATTATTCTACTCTTAGCATGGAAGTTAAATTTATCTGCCTCTGTAACAGCATCACAAAATATTTCAGTATATGATATAGCTGCTTGTCATTCTACTTTATTTTGATCTTTGCCAAAAAAAGAAAGAATGCTTTGTACATGCTGCTGACATAAACAGTAGCCTGATTAGACATCACTGGAACATTATGGCTATGAATAGTAATACTTTGCAGTTAAGATTAATCAGTTAATAATGTGTTTGCAGTTGCAAGACAGTGTAGATGCTCTTTATATTTGAGCAGGAGTTTTCATGTTTCCAAGATGAATACATTGAAGTGAGTTTATGCTTTTTTGGTATAGCTCATTTATGCTGACCTTGACAGTTATCAGTACACATTGACCAATTGTTGAAGCAGCAACAGTTCTATCAGTTGTCTACTTTAATAAGGAGTCTAAGAAAAAGTATTTATTGTCCTCCGTATTTTATAGTAATATTAGTAATAATATTATAATATATAATATCATATTAGTCCCTAATTGTAAAAGAGAAATGTAAAGACCCTAAAACTGTATTACTTCTGAGTGTAATTTTTTAAAATATTAATTTATGTCAGATTCTGAGTCAAATTGTTTACAACAAACAAACAACAGTTACAACACAAAAAACAATTACAACATAAAAAATAATAATACATAGCCTAAGTAAATAAGTACGTAAATTAAGAAAAATAAGTCATAAAAAGTACTTCAATTACAGTTACATCAGTACAGTATCTGAAATGTATTACACTGTTGCATGATTTTAATTGTTTATAGTTAAGGGTCGTTGTAAAGAGGGTGGGATACAGATACAGACAGATGTGTTTAAAACTACATTTCATGCTAAAATAATTTATAAAACCCGTGTTATAATACTTTGATAAACATAATAGATTGCTGCAATAAAACAAAACAAAAAACAACAACAACATGGCAATGCTTTGATAGGTCGTTTGATGTTTTGATGAAGGTGTGTGTGTTTTGAGCTTAGATGGGGTGACTCCGCAGCATCTCTTCCTCCCGGCAGGAGGAGTGGCTTCACTTCCGCCTGAATGCGACACATCCGAGCGAACCCCCGTCTTCGGTTGAGATCCGCGCGTGCGAAGTAGGTAGAGCAGATCTCCGCTTTGTTACCTAAACATTTTGTGACTCGCTCTGCTACTACGACGGTCGAGGACGAAGGACACCAAGGTATTTTTTTGTGCTGAAAATTATGATTATGCCATTCCTGTTTTATTCTGTGAGAATTAGGCCTATTTGCTTTAAATATGCGGACAGCACGCTCTCACAAACGCACATGAGCGTTCGCTGATAGCTTTGATGGTAGCAGGCCTAAAAAGAGTGGCCTGAAGCGATAAAAGTACAATTATAACTTGCAAAACGAATTTAGGTAATCAAGTAACAAATATATGTGTGGATAATGGTATTATTAGAATGTTGTTACTTATGTATTTATTTGTAACGATCCGTGCTGTCCATGCACCTTAGCTTAGTTTGCAGCTTAGCCTAGCATACATGCAAATTAGCTTCTCTTCATTGTTTTGTGTTTGTCGGGGAAAGAAGTCGACGAATAGACGTTTAATTCAGTATAAATAGTTGACTTGAGTGATCTTTGTCCGTAAGCCAGTGCAAACATTGCGAAAAAAATGGAAATGGTCTGAATATGTGCGGTTTGTTGCAAAGCAATGTTGCAGAGCATTGCGCTCTAGTAGAGATTTCTTTACGGTTTCTTACTCTCTCTTTCAGACTAAAATTTTGAAGCTGTAAAGTGTCTTCATGGCCGTCAGAAGAGGACACATAAGGTATTTAAAAGTGAGTATTTATTTATAATATACTTATAGTATACAGTAACGTTGCTGTTTCTTCAAGGAAATGTGAGTTACCATATAACAATTCGACACCAATACTATCGATCTATGCAGATTATTTATGTTGCCCATTGAGCAATGTTTGTGTTGATTACTTATTTTATTAATTATTTGATCGATTATTGGGACGAATTTTAGTGATGAATAAAATATTCGGCCGAAAAACAGCAAAAAATTAATTGATAGTTTGGAGGGCCGACATCATGACCCAAACTGTGATTGTTAAAAGCATCAGAGATGCTCCAATTAAACGTGTCATGCACGCAACGTGGATAAGCTACCACAGGTAAAAATGTCGTCTGCATGAACGCACTTCACCATGACCAAAAATGAAGAACTTTACTGGGACTGGTTTAATTTATCACTTGCTAACACAATCCCCTGAACAGCATACCAAGTATAATTACTGAAAAGTTATTTTAAATTTTTTGTTGAATGAATTTTTTTTAGGTAAAATAATTTTGTTGCATCAATAAATGTCTTGGGTCCTATTATTAGATTAAACTTTATTGCTATTATACATACAAGTATAAAACCCAGGAATTGCAGTTAGCATCTAACCAAAATGTGCAAACAGCAGTATATTGCATAGTGTTATTAGGTCCATATTTATATCATGTTGCAACTGATTTGTTGCTGCAGGTTTGTGAGGTTCAGAACCAGGGTAATGACAGAGACTCACACAAGGGTGCCAGCTCAGTAAAGGTAAAATTGGCCATTATTTCTGTCTTTAGACAAATGCTGGATATTATTGATATTTGTACTTGCTCTTTTTGTTTCAGTTTAAGTGTGCCAATGTAAATTTGATGATTTGGAAACAATGCATGTTCTTTTGTGAAGCAGGAAGTATACGATATGCCGAACGGTTACGAGGACCACATGGGCGATGAGCCAAGTGATGCTAAAACCAACCTGATTGTCAACTACCTGCCCCAGAACATGAGTCAGGAGGAGCTCCGCAGTCTCTTCAGCAGCATTGGCGAGGTGGAGTCAGCCAAACTCATAAGAGACAAGATGGCAGGTATGTCTCACTTGAGTTCAACACAATGAGTCTGTGGCTTTCTCTTCTGTGATATCTGTATGTGTAGACAAAGGCAGGTTTTTTTGCATACGTTCTTGTTTATTTCCAGCTCTTAAGCTTTTTTATTTTTTTAGGAATATTTTATTTTCATAGTTAAGTTCTATAGGGAATGATTTTCAATATTTAAGAACTGTTGATATTAAAACAGATCTTTGAGCAGTTTACTGAAGCCTGGGTCATGGTTTGTGGCAGAATTTCACTGTCTACTGTGGTATTTTATGCTCTAAAACATTTTGATCAAATTAGAATTTTTTTCCCCTCTATTTGAAAAGGATTTACTCATTATTCATTGTGGTACTGGCCAAATTTAATTTCATTTAGCTTTTGATTAAACTTGGTGTCACCCCAATGTGTTGAGTCAAGCACATTTGTTTTTTCTGTAAAGGTATTTTTTTTTTAGTGTGAGACTGCAAAAAGCTCGACTCATTTGACATTTTTAAAACTTCTCAGTTCTTTTAATGCTGTGGGCATCCTGTCTTGCGTGCACAGTGTACATATTTTATTTTGGTTGTTTTTGTTTTCCTATTGTTTGAGGACAATTATCAATTTCCAATTGAAGTGTGGAGAACCTGGAGTAGCCAAATGATGTCGGTGTGGTGCCATCTTCATGCATCTTTACCATTAGCTTTTATTTTTATTTCCTGCCCACAGCATCTCACTATCTGTGGATTTTATTTAGAAACGTGATGTATAGTTGATCTGTTGAATGTATACATTCTGTATTTTATTTACTTGAAGATGTTTGTAAATGCCTACTAATTTTTTTTTTTTTTTTTTTTTTTTTTTTTTTTAAAGGAGGTGTGAAGGAAGGTATTTGTTTATTCTTAGAAACTATTCTATAAAGAGTTTTTGATGTTTGACTTTTATTTCTGTATCCTAACCATTTCCTTGTCTGATGTCAAATTTTACTTGTTTTTGATGAACATGTAACTTTTTCTTTAACAATTGTCATTCACAAGATTAGCTTGTATTATGTTTCTTTTGTCCAGAAAGAATAGTCTGCAGGATGTGGACGAACGTTTGTTATTTTTATTTTGTTTTTTTCCCCCTTTTGTTTTCTCTAGGCCACAGTTTAGGGTACGGATTTGTTAACTATGTTAACCCTAGTGATGCAGAAAGGGCAATCAATACACTCAATGGCCTGAGACTACAGTCTAAAACTATCAAGGTAACGTGCTAAGAGGTGTTTTTGTATCATGTTACATTACAGATGCCATGTTAAACTAGATTAAAAGCAGTAAAGGACAACGTTCGAGTCCTGCTTGCTTTCTGTAAGGAATGATTTTTTTTTTTCATGTTTCAACTATTGTTCTTTTTTTTCCCTAATTTTTTTGCTTTGTTTCATTTTCTTTTTATTGACATTTGAAGTCTCTAGACTTTGGCCCTTATAATCTGTGTGATTGGCTGTCTAAGCATGGTTTAAATTCGGTACAGAATTATACTGAAGTCAGTGACCTTTTTAATTTTAAAGTTCATTTATGATCAATCTGCTACTTTCA